TGATTAATAGAGGTCTAATTACTAATAGAAATGATATGTACGTTTGAGATTATGCGGTGACGGTGATTATAGCCGATTTGTGATTATAGAGAGGTACTTTGATATAGTTTAAAACCGTTTCTCAAAATCGGGTGCTTATAAAGAGGCGTGAATATATGGGGGGTGACTGTATGGGGGTTTGACTGTATAATAAAAAATATATAAAATCTTTAAATTAGTACAAAAAACTAATAGATAAACGTTTTTACGTAATGTGATAAATTCGATAAATGATCGGCAAAATGATCGACATATACGTGATAATTGAGAAAGCCCGCTATGCTCATGACGCAATTAACCGTGATATATCAAACGAAAGTCGTACCACAAAATATTTAATATATAAAAAAAAGCATTTTTTAAAAATATTACATTATTACAAGCATTTATGATTAACGAAATATACATTATTTAAAATAAAAGTTAACAATTTGAAGTGACAACTATTAAACATCGGAGCCTTTTCTTTACTACTATTATTGAAAGGCATATTAAATGGTAAATCTTGTTGATTCAAGATTTATAATTTGTAACGGTTTCTTATTGTAATCTTGAATTTGTTGCACAGGTCCTTTTCAATGTCAGTATTTTTGGATGTTTAGGTTTTAAACATGGATTATTTAAAAGTTCACGAGCAGTATTAAATTTTACGGTCTTCTTGATTTAATTTTTAAGAAATGTAAAAAAAATTATTTATGATGTAGAAAAAGAATTTTTACATCACAATAACATGTGACTTATATAATTCATGTGATTTTTCTTATCACGGGCGTTAGTAACCGGGATATAATAGTTATTTCACTTGCAAAATTTGAACATTGAATTCGAGCCGGAAAATGTTAAATATAACAAAAAAAAAAATAAAATGATTAAAAATTCAAAATTCAAAACAAACTATGAACATTCACGTCTTTTAGACAGGAATTCTAATAAATAATTTCGACTTTCAATTATAATTTCGAAGGAACTGTCAAACGTTAAGATTTTCTAATTACATTATTATAGTTATTGTTGTTGTTGAATTGATTCATATCACAGTGAATGAATGATTTTTTTTTACAATTTTGTGCTTTTTAGTTTCCTCTTTCAATTAGTTCGGTTTCAAAAACTTTTGGGCAGCGAGGTATGGTGGCAGTGGAGATATGTCTCAGGTCTCGCTAATTAGAATAAGGCAATGCAACTTCGATTTTTCGGTTCACGTAAAATTGAGATTAAAAATCGACCTGGAAACCCGGAGTTTATTTTTTATTAATAAAAAAAGTTTATATATAGATCTGATTGGTCAATCTTTAAGGGACAAGGCCGTGCAAAGTAAATTTTTAGATTCTGTGACCCGGCTGTGTCAGACGAAAATTCAGGATTATTTTTATAGTAAAATTTTTTTCATACATAATAAAATCGACATTTCAGATTTTGTAAAGAAAGCGATGCATATAAAAAAATTTTCATATGAAAAAGAAAATTATCTAAAAATTTTCTTTGCCCGGCTTAATAAATACGATAATCATCATTTCATTTCAAAATCATCTTAACTCCGTCAAAATGCCTATTATACATGTAAAAATAAGTTACAATTCTAAAGTTTTGAAGGATTGGGAAGGTTTACCTGTTGAGTAAGACAAGAAACAAAAATAAAAGATTTTTTTTTTGGAAATATATCGATTCTATATTTATCACCTAACTGGTTGCTTGGGAGGCTGCATGAAACTGATGAGTTGTAAGAAAGGAATTATACAATAATGCTTTAATCTACCAATAAAATTACACTTTATAAGTCACATGATAAACTTTTTATATATAACTTTTTTTTGTTTAAATTTGAAAAAGTGACCCGGCCGGGTGACATGAACTGAAAAATCGAAGTTGCATGGATGGCCTAATAAAAGAATTCCGAAAAGCTGATGGCACGTTGCTTAACTTTATTTTGAAAGATCATACTAACAAAATAAATTTTTTGTTTAAATTTTCAGGGTATCATTGAATCGGGTGTATTACATACATTTTTGTGCTTCATTTTTTTTAAAAAAAAAAAATTTGAAATATTAATATAATTTATTAACATATCCGATAAACTATAGCGAATTCATTGACCAAAGATCGTTAAATTCATCACCTTTAACGTTAATTTTTAAACATTCAAACTTCCACAATGCAAAAATACATACGTGATTATATCGTATTTTACAATTTGTGTTTAAATATTGTATGATTTGCATTTGATAGAATGTGATATTTTGACGGTTTGCTATAATAATCAAAATTTGGATCATATGGGAGCTTCGCTATTAAAATCAGGTTCTGGGGGAGAGCGAGAGAGAGAGAGAGAGACAGCGAAGCCCTCTGACCAAACTGAAATTTGTTCAAATTATTGTATGATATTTAGTTAAAATTTTATGGCCTATTATCGCAAGCGATTAAGCCGCAAACATCTATTTATAATTTTAAAAGTTAAAAAAGTTTCGGATCCTTTTAAAATTTTTTAATTTTAAAACATTTAATTACTAAAGTTTTATTGGGAAGTTGTGTTTGGGAGTATTCGTATCCCCAGAAAAAATTTTCTTTTAAGTAATTTTTTTTTTTTAAAAATAAAAAAAAAAGAAGCTTTTGATACAAGGATAGGATGAATTTTTTATTAGAAATTTATAAATTATTAATAAAATTTTATGTTAATTAATACAAAAGTAATTTCTTTTTGATACATTTTACAAATATTTAATAAAGTGAATTTTTATTAAAATCAATTTTTTTATCGCACTTTTTCAAAAATTGGATTCATGTAAATTTTGATCAGCATTATGCATGCAAAATCAGAACCAAAGAAATCTGTTATTTTCATAAAATAGTTAAACGAAAATATTTAAAATTAAAATATTTTACTACTGTCTGTTAAAGGACTTTACCATCATTCTTTTGTTAGCCACGGTCTTTTTATTGGAATGAATTTATCGATGATGTTGAATTATATTTTATCAACTTGTTTGTTATTAGTAAATAACTTGGATTCATTTTATTTTTTCTGTCTGTTCAATTTTTTTAAGAGAAAAAATTACTTTGGACGACTCATTGAGGATTGGGACATAATTTAAGGTTTGGTCATCTGTTTACGGTACATTAGCGATCCATCCAGAAAGAAAATTACCTAAAAAATAATTTATAAAATGAAATGAAATCGCAAAAAAAAAGGTAGCTAAAAAAAGAAAATTTACCTATGCGACCGTTGCGATCCAGCCCGAAAGATCCTCTAAAAAAAAAAAATTTGATTTTAACGTGTTAGTCACAAATCCTACTGCGCCTCAGATGATCGCACGCTGCGGCAAATATCATAAAAGTAATACATGTATCGTTTGATCTACTTTATAATACATGATCGAATAGTTTACCTTTCATTATATTATATAGTCCTCGTAGTATATAGTAATAGTTAGCAATTTTATATAAATAGACCTACAAGTTGACCTTGAGACAGAGTTCGATCAGATAGTTTTTCTGAGTAAGTCTTGGGAACTAGACTTATAACTCTACAGATTAATAAAGTTACTATTTTTAATCTTTCAACCTTCTCCTTGTCTTCATCATAGGATTTGGTCGTGATAACCTACTACACAAGTGAATCGTGGTAATAAATCGTTTTGATGGTTAATCGTTAATTTCTCTTAGGAAAGGCCTTCGAGATAATTGTGATATTAAGTTATTTAGTTAGCTTGGGTTTTGAGACAACGGAAAGAAATTAACTAAAAATTCATCTAAAAAAAAAATAAACAAACAGTAACGAAATAATATAATAAAATAAAAATAATAATAAATCGTTTAAAATAAATGTCCTACCGCAGTAGAAAGAAATGACCCCATGTTCATGATAGAATAATTAACTTTAATAATCAAAAAAAAAAAAACAGAAAATTAAAAAAAATATATACTAAAAAGATCAAATCATTTATCACTAAAGGAAAAAAACAAAACGATCCAATGAGAACTTAAAGAAATGATCGTATGGTTGAGTTAAATCATTTTCGTACCTTTATTAATATCAGTTCATTTAGATTGTTAACGTATAAGCACGAACAAAGTTACGAATTGTTTAACCATACAAATATAATGCTTTTCGTAATTAATTTACGAATTTCATCAACTCAATAATTATTATTATTAAAAAAAAAGCAAGGCGGCGAAGCGTTGCATTGGGCGCATGTAGAATTGGATGATTTTTTTTTTGCTTACCCGATACAGAGATGCGCCCTGATCCGAAAAATCCGCCTATATTTTTAAAATTCTGTTCACAGTATACTCAATAAAAATTAAAGGTGGTGGGCGTGACAAATATTTTACTTGATCATGTGATCTGCCCCGCTTTAGACACTCCCAATTTGGGAGTATATAGAAAGCATGTATGGTGTGGTGATCGGCTCATGATGCATAAATGTTATTGTATGTATGTATGTTATGTTAATACATACATACAATAACATACAATAACATACAATAACATTTATACATCATTTATGGAAACAAATGAGCCGATCACCATACAACGCCATACAAATGGTCATTATACATACATACATTGGTCACCATACCTTACATGTTTTCTATTTTCCACAATCTATTGAATTACTCAAATAAGGAAAATACAAATAAGAAAATCGCGAATTCAAATTTAGGCTATCTATTGAATTACTCAGATATAGAAAATACAAATAAGAATATCGCGTATTCCAATTTAGGCTATCTTTTTAATATCAATGAATTACCCAAATAAAGAAAATACAGATAAGAAAATTGGAATCACATCTATGAATTACCCAAATAGCGAATTTAAATAATTGTTTATTGCATTGCATTACTTCAAAATAAAAAAGGCATTACTTTGCATACATACGTGAAAATTTATTTATTTAAATGTCATAAATAATTCTTTTTTTTTTTTTTTTTTAGGAAATCTTATTTTTCCTTCATTTATAATCATGGCTTGTAAGTTATTCATTCCCTATTGTATATCTATAAAACTTGACTAAATTATAATTACAATTAAAAATTATTTCAATGATACTGTTAAAAAATTTAATTTAACCAATTTTACAATTAAAATTATTCATTATATACCAGCTATCGCTGAACCACAAATTATTCGTGAGCTAATTGAAAAATTACCAAGTGATAAAATAGACAGTAAGTTTGATTTCTATAATATTATTGATAGGTAATTCATTTAAATTTTCAAATAACATAAGTAAATTAAATATTTTTATTTTGAAAAGCATCGGCAACTCCAAAAGATTCGAAATGGCATATTTCTATTAGCCCAGATGGAAATTATCTCGTTACTTTTAATCATGGTAATTAATAATTATTATTATTTACGTTTCTTACTTTAAATTAATCGTTATACATATATATTGCTTGCAGATTCAATGGGGTTGAACATTTTTAATTATACTCAAGATAAAAAAATTAAAAAGGTTAAGGGATGTACAATGAAGAGAGCTCTCTTTGAAAATATTGAATTTGAAGATTGGACGTTAGCAACATCAAATATGCATAAAAATCAATCCATCTTTGTTGCAATATCATGTGTAACTGAATCCGATATGACAGTTAAACAAAAAAGTAAGAATACCGGGAATGGAAAAACAGTTATTTTTAAAATTGAAAATTTAGAACTTAATATTGCTCAAGATAATAATCTATTCGAACATAACGAGGAAAATTTTCAAGTTAATAACTCAGAACTCAAGGAAATTATTATTAAAGATAAAGAGGAAATTATTATTTCCGAATATAAAAAGGAAAATTTCGGTGGAATTGTTTTTCTTGTGGATGATGAAACCGGTTCTGATGTAAACGATTCTAATGAAAAAAACACGAAAAACAAGTCTGGTGAAAACGATTCCGATAAACATAAACCTGTATGCTTTATCTTTAATGCAAGCGGAATCTATAGACTTGAATGTACGTTCAATAATAAAAGTTCAAAGAATTTTAAGCAATTTAATTATCCAAAAATAATTATGAACGAATTAAAAAATTTAACCGATTCCGAATCTCGTATCAACAGTATTAAAAACTGTATTTTTGACAATTATTTTCATGTTGAGCAATATAAAGAAGGTATTCAAGTTATGGAATTATACGATCTAAGAACCATGCAAATACAACAAATTTTTAAAATATATGAAGGGAGAAAATATCCATTTAAATATAGCGATTCGGCATTAGCTATTTCAAATAATAAGCAAATGATTGCTTTTTCTTCTGGATATGGAACAATAGCTCTTTGTTTAATAGAAAATGGTCTGGTAATTCTTCATAAACATTTTGGAAAAGACAAAGTAATTGCTTGCAAATTTAAGGGTGATAACAAATTAATGATATTAATTAGAAGAGCCAATCACGAGAATCCAATGATGTATATTTGGCATTTATATACAAATAAAATTAAAAAATGTAGTGAACGTTTCCCGGAAAAAGGAAAAGAAATCTCGGTAGAAGATAAAGAAAAAGTTTTATATAGTGCAAAGGTTCCTGATAAATATGTAATTGTTGATGAAAATGGTGTTGTAAATTCAGTATATGATAATTTCGAAGAAAAAGATAAAGAAAAGTCTTCATTAGAATTAATATTATACAAAGATCGTAAAGATCGTAAAAATTTAGCATATGAAAACAAAAACCTTTCAAAAGAAGAAGCGCAAGGCATTATATGTAATAGAGAACTATGGATAGAATATGATAAAAATAAAAATTCAGATAAAATACTAGCATATGAAAACAAAAACCTTTCAAAAGAAGATGTGCAACGCATGATACTAGCATATGAAAACAAAATCCTTTCAAAAGAAGAAGTGAAAAACCTTTCAAAAGAAGAAGTGCAACGCATGATAAATAATAGAGAAACATGGAAAAATAATGATAAAATACTAGTATATGAAAACAAACACCTTTCAAAAGATGAAGTGCAACGTATGATACATAATATACATAATAGAGAACCATGGATAAATAATGATAAAATACTAGAATATGAAAAAAACCACCTTTCAAAAGAAGAGGCGCAACACATGATGCATAATAGAAAACAATACATAAATAATAATAAAAATATATATGTATATTATCTTGATCATGATGAATTGATACAGTTATATATTGGGGAATGTACAGTTCAAGTATGGCGTAAAGATAAGCAAAAAAAAATGTTTGTTCTTGAATATATTTGGGCTCATGATATTAAAGACGATAAAATGTTAGATATAGAAGATTTAATAGTTTATGAAGATAAAATTGGATTTTCTCTTAAATTAGAAAATATTCATCTTAAATGGGTATATAATGATTATAATTGTCATAAGGATTTAATGGTGTATGCATGCTATGCTCTTGAATATTTAAAGCAAAGAAATAAAATATCCGGATATAAAAACCAGCTTGGTATTTATTAATTTTTAATATTAATATATCTTTTTTTTTTTAAAAAAAAAAATAATAATAATAAATAATTGCCAACTTTATTTTACTAAAAAAAAAAAAACTTTAGCATTTGAAGAAATTAAGGACAATGTTTCTGATATGATTGAGAGATTTATTAGAAATTCTCCTGACATTTGGAAAATAATAGATATTCACTATGATCTTATGGAAAGAATTATAAATGATGGCTCAATTACTCTCATTAAATATATTTTATTTGGTGATGATGATAATGTAAATCATGAACGTTTACATATACCAAGAATAAACCGATGGAATAAATCTAAAAATAATTCGGATATTCTGGAACATTCTACAAATAATACAAATAAAAATGATTTGCAAATAGCTATTGAATTGTGTAAAAAAGGTAATTTTATTATTTTAAAATATTTATAATATTTAAATAATTTAATTAATTGAATATTTTCTTTATAGATCATCAATGTAACCGTAGAATTTTGTTGGTAACTTATTTACTTGAATATTATTCACAAAATGCAACTAAACATCATGGATGGTTAATTGCTATTTCAAAAGCATTACCAGACTTATATGAAAATGATTTAGGTATGTACAAATTATCATTTTTTTTAAAATCGCTTTTTGAACTATTATTATTTTTTTTTAAAATAAATAAATCTTTTAAATAGAATTTTGTATACCAAAATTATTTTATAAAAATTGCATGGAAGGTATAAAAATATCAAATATTCCTGTACACAAAGAGATTCTTATAAGATTTGCAAAAGATAAGTTCGTAGCATTCAATCCAATTTTCTTGGAACCTATTTCGAAAAGTGGTTGGCAATTTAATTTTAAAGCTTTAAAAAAGGGTTTGAAGTACATAGAGCTCGTATTAAAAAAAAAGATTTACGTAATTCTTCTTTCAAAAGATTATAAAGATCCTACAAAAGATCCTAAAGATCAAAAAAAAGATCTTGAAAAATATCCTTCACCTGTAAAAATAGTTCCTTTATGTGATTTTACTAAATATACTGTTAATATACCTAAACATACCTACAAAGACGAATTTATTTTCAAACTTTTGAGATTATTGTTTTTCCCTCGAGCTTATCTTAGCCCCGAAACTTTCACTTGTACTCAATGTAAACAAAAAAAAACCCCTTCGGAGGCGGTAGAGCACAATGGAACTAAATATTGTAGCACCGAGTGCCGTGATAATTTCACTTGTCCTCAATGTAATCAAAAAAAACCCACTTCGGAGGCGGTAGAGCACAATGGAACTAACTATTGTAGCGCCGAGTGCCAGCAAAAATATAGTCCTAATGTTTCAACTTTCACTTGTCCTCAATGTGAACAAGAAAAACTCAATTCGAAGCCGGAAAAGCACTATGGAACTAAATATTGTAGCACCGCGTGCTGTGATAAAGCCCAGCAACATTATACTCCTAGTCCATTTGTACAAATAATTAATAATGAAAGCGATGATGATATCTTTAAGAACCCTGTAATGGAAGCTGTAATTAATTACAAATGGAAATCAGCAAGAAACTATTTTTTTCGATATTTTTTTCTTTATTTTTTATTCGCAGCTTGTTTTGCAGCAATTTGTGGGGCTTATGTGGCACATTCTGAAGCAACAGGATACCGTAATAATTTTTTATTATTCCTTCTTATCCTTTTTTATTATTTAGGATATTATTTATTATTTGTTGAATACAGACAGTTTAGACATCGTGGTTGGAAAAATTACTTCGATCTTTTTAATTGTTTTGATTTAGCATCAATTATTGTGGCAGTAGTTGTAATGTCAGTTCATGTCGCTCCTTCATTTGACACTAAAAACGCATTTGCTAATGTTGTGACAACTCAAGAAATAACCATCGCGATTTCTTTTACGATGTTATTACTGTGGTTTGAATTTGTACGTATTTCGTAATTTTCTTGTGACAAAAAAAAATGTTTGAATTAGAAATTAAAATTATTACATTTTATTATCAAATAGATTTTATATCTTCGGTTAATCGGAGGTAATATTGGAAATTTATATTAGTTGTTATCTCCATAATTTATAAGTGTTTAACTTTTACAGGGAATTATTTCTTTTAGAACCAGCGAAATATATCTATATTATGCTAAGTATTATTAGCGAGATTTGGATGTTTCTTGCTTTTTTGATTATTGTGATCGTAGGATTGGCACATAGTTTTTTACTATTATTACAGTATCCTGATTTTACAAATCTTGAAGAAATTAAAACACCATCTACATTATTTACGGATGATTCAAACTTCAAAATACAAAGTGATTTTGATCGAACCGAAGATAACCCAGCTAAAAATTTCTTTAGATCATTTCTTTCAACATATGATTGGTTAAATGGTAACAAATCACAAGATAAAGCATGGAATTTATGGGCGGTAAAGGTTATTACTTTCTTTGGTAGTTTTTTTTTAGTAACCATTTTGCAAAATATGTTTGTTGGTTTTATGAGGTATGTTTCCTTTTATTTTCTTTAAGTTTTTTTCATAATATAATTAGTGTATTGATTAAATTTTCATTAGTGGTGTGTATTCTGATGCTCAAAAGAAAGGTCGTGTTAATTATTTACGATATTGTGCAGGCTTAATTGCTGATTATGAGGCATTAGATAAGATAAATTTCAATCCCTCGTCACCAGAACCAGAATATATTTATTATATAGGTGAATCAAAAAGTCATGACGAATGGAATGTTAAAAAATGTATGAAAAGTAACAATGGTAACTTATATGATGATTATGAAGAGAAAGTAAGTTTACCATGTGATGATGAAGATAATCATTGTTCCAGCGATGATTATTCCGGCGATGATGATATTTCTGAAGGTGAAGGGAAGAAAGAAACTACTGTTAAAGATCTTAATAAGATGATCGATAATATTGATAATAAGGTTGATAAATTACTTACAATTAATAATTAGTAAATTGATCTTAGTAATTTATGAAATTTCATAAAGAATTTTCTAAAATTAATTGTTATTAAATGCTTTAATTTTATTAACGAAATTTTTTATAGTTTTTCATTTTTAACTTTGATAAATTTAAAACTTTAAAATTTGGCAGTTTTGAATCTCTCAAGCGTTGTTATAGATTTATTGGTTCTTTTTTTTTTTTTAAAAAAACTTACTTCATATTTTACATATGCAGAAATTTTTTATTAAATGACATTTACAAAATAAATATTAGGGTTGTTATTGTGTATTAAAACTCTAAAACAATATATGAAACTATTCATGATATGTTTATTCGTTAGAAATAGCTTATCTAACTTTGTTCATTTGTATCAAAAAAATTGCAAGTTGTAGATATTAGGGAATCCTGAAAAAGGGGCAAATGCATTAGTTAAGTGGTGTTATCACGGTATTCTTGATATGCAGCATAAGCGTTTATTTAAATATTTGGGAGGCGGTTAATAGAAAAGGGGGAAATCTACAAATTTTGAGTAATTTTAGTTATTAAGCTAGCTAGTTTTGTTCACTTGACCATGATCAGCAGAGTGAGCCAATAAACAAATTTTTGACTAAAAAGTGGATTTCCCCCTTTTCTACTGACCGCCCCCCATTTTTTCAAATTGAGAAATAGATTTAAAAACTAAATCAAATTCTTTATCAAGCAATACAAATGCAAGTTCGACTCTCCCAATGCTTGTAAGATAACATCATAATCATAGCCACAAGTTACACCAAAATTTTATAAATTTCAGTGGTCGTGTGTTCGTGTGTTTTGTGTTGCGTCAAAATAGTAAATCTCTAGTACGCGGTGCTTAATAACTCCCTAGTAACCCGTCCCGTAAATAAATATGTTTAAAACTATTCTTATTAACAACTCCACACTCATCTTAAGCTAAGTTATAGATAGAAATTACCTCTTACATTTTTTTTGCATAGTAAAAATATATATTTATAATTTATACATTTATACGCTAGCATAATGTTTATTAAATAAAATTGTGTCTTTAATTATAAAAGCAAACTTTTTTTTCCATAAATCCTATTCAAAACCTGTTTGACGCTTCGCGTGATGTGTGATCTTTTGTTTATTTGCACCACATGACATGAATCAGCTTGTTTTTTGGTGTATTGATTCATCAAATCATGAACATATATAATGTTAATGCTTAAAACCTCAATATTTCATTTTTTCAACAGAATCAATGAAGTCTATCTATGCTTGCTGCCAAAAGAAATACTGATTTTTCTTATCAATGACTTATTACTAAAATAATATCGGATTTTTTTTTTGAATAATCTAAATTCTTTAATACTTGTTTATTTACAAGGCATTTTAGGTTTTTACCTGGCTTGTTTTTTAAAACCGTGTCTGTGAATAATTTAATGAGTTCTATATTATTCTAAAAATTTTTTTTTTTATTCAACACAAAAAGTATCTAACCAATAAAATTCAACAAATTTAAAAATATTTCTTCAATCGTTTCGCAATAGAATTTTCACGAAGTTATATCATTATTTAAACAGAAAATTGTCTGATTCATAAATAAATATTTTTGAATATTTGATGTAAAAACGTGATGGTTGAATTATCGTGTATTTTTAAATAATTGATAAATTTTTAATTTTTTAAATGTTAAAGTTTAGTAATATTTTCTAATTTTTAATTTGGTTTTTAATAGCCCGCGATGTTTTTTAATAAATTTTTTGATTTTTTTCTTTATAATGATGATTTTTGGATTTTTATTTTATTTTTTCGTTTTTATTTATTTTTTTTTTTAGTTTTAGTTTTTCGTGCGACCTTTATTCATGCGATCTTTTTTTTATTTTTTTATTTTTTTATTTTTTTTTTTTTTTTTCGTTTCATTTTTTTCTTTTTATTTTTTCCTTTTATTTTTTTTTGATGATAGTAATTTTCTCCGGTATAGATTCTTAAATTTCATCAAGTTATAATAATCACGAGTTATTGATATAATGCAATGCAAATTGATTAAAATATTATTTTTAAATTTATCTTTTTTTTTTTATAATCAAGTAGCGAAGTAGTTATCATAATGCGCATAACCTTTTACCAAATTTTTTAAAGAAAACCTTTGCAGTTTTCAATTACCAAATTTAGAAATCCACTAAATATACCATCCAGGCAAGGTATTTATTAAATAAAAAAATTATATGAAAATGAAAATATTATAAGTATCAAATTGACAAATATTTCAAAATATATGATAATTCGAAAAGATACGTTATTTAAACAATTAAAATAAAGAAATTGATTTAATTAACGGAGTGGAAGAGGTGATTTAACCCCCTTGCAAAAATGTAATTAAGATGTGATATCAAACTGGTCAAATTGATTATTCTGGCGTACTGTATACAACAGGAAACCTTTTATTGACTTTGTCACAATATCAAAAAAACACATTCAACAAATAACGCACTTTTTTTGTCGGATAATTAATCTATAAATATTACCTTTGCCTATACTTCTACGACATTAAACATGGAGAAAACACTCTTAATGATAGAAAACTGGGATGTATTGGAATTGAAACAGGACAGGCTAAGAAGCCAAGAAACTCAAAGAATAATCGAATCGCTCGTACTCCTCATCCATAGTTTGAAAGAATATTAGAGAAATACATATTGTACAAAATTTCGATATTTTTTTGAAAAAGAAATTATTCAATTGGCATTTATCCATTTGATCAGGGTTTCCATTTGTAAATAGAACTTTAAATATTTTATTTATAAATTCAAATATTCGCAATTATATAATCAATTAATAACTGAAAATCGAAAAAAAAAACATTTCAATTAAAATAAATTAAAAAAAAATAAAAAATTAATTACCCATTTACCCAATCGAAAAATAAATTAAATAATGAAAAAACTAATCAGTTGAAACTTTCAAATATTTGAAATGATATTTGAATTTCAAATGGAACCCCTAGCTTAATATACAGCCAAAAAAATATTTTCAAAATATTTTTTTACATTATATACTGTTCTTTTACATTGTTTTTCTTATCATCTTTTTTGTACTATTTAAGAATTATGTCCGATATGATCGAAATCATGATATTTTGATGAATTGGAAGTAAATTTCTTTTTTTCTAATGGATCAAGTATTAAAGATTTTTTTTGACTCATTTTAGGTGACATTATAGAAAATTTTTCCCGCAAGGCAAATACCGTAGTCATATTAATTGTGCTATTAACAAACCTTTTCACCAATAACCCAAAAGGGCGGCATAATCATACAACGTCCGCCACTACTGGTAAGTTTTTCCCAATATTTACCTCTCGAACAAAATTTTCGGTCAATTGAATAATCTATTGTAAATTTTTTTGTTTGTTTTATACTTAATATTCAAATGCAAATTAAAATAATTTTTCGTTCCAAAAACTTCCTCCTCTCAAATATTATCGTAAACTTTTTCTCAACGGAGCCAAACATCATCACAACAAACTTCTTCCTTCCTGAAGGGCTGCAAACTTTTCTCAATTAATGTCATTAGGAGTTACTAATCGACGTTAGTTTCCGCCTTTGAACTTTTGAAAGTCAGATGTTGACAAGTTCTCTAAAATGAAATTGTAGAATTACACAAACTATATAGTATGGTTCTTTTTTTTAATGTACTTTATGTAAGGTACGTATGTATTCTTTAAAAAGCTATACATTTATGGTTTTTCTATAACAAATAGTACTTGTGTGGTTTCTAATACTATACAATTATGACATACTATACAAATACATGATCAACCCTTAAATTAATAAATGAATCCTGTCTGTAAGATTAAAGTTAGAATTAGATTTTGCTATGTATTTTCTGTATTTTCTTTTAAAAATAAAATATTATACTCTTTTTTTAATTTTTAATTGTTTTAATGGTTTTAAAGTATCAAACATTTTTAATTTAATTATTTTATTTTATTAATAAATTTCTTTTATAAATAATGCGGAAGGGAACGAATTAGCTTTATTTTTGCTAAAATTCTAGTTTTTTATCTTATTCATTAAAATATACTATTCAGATAAAGTATTTATTAAATATAAAAAATTTATATAAAAATAAAATATTATAAGTATCAAATTAATAAATATTTCAAAAAATATGATAATTCAAAAAGATACTTTATATAAACAATTAAAATAAAAAATTGATAAGATTAATGGAGTAGAATAGATAATTTATCCTCTTGCAAAAATATAATTAAAATATGATATCAAATAAGACACAGACTGGTTTAATTAATTATTTTGGTATAATATTATGCATTTTTTATTTAAATAGTTTCAGGCAACAAACAAAATTAATACTATATCAGAATATCTATTCTATAATATTTAAAATCTGAGAAATCACGTTAGTTTTAAATCTTTTTAATAATTTTATTAATTACATACCTTATGTTTATTTTATATACGATTGTAAAAATACATATAATACTGAGTATGAAAATCTAATCAAAGTTACATTTTAAATAAATTTATTATAATGAAGTATAACTAGATAAAATAAAAGTTAGAAAATATAATACTTCAATTAATTGTTATTTTTTATTTCATATTAATAATGCAATTATGAAAGCACGTCATATGTAAGAATGAAATAGAAGGAAAATTTTATTAGAAGAAAATTACGTGCTAAATTTTACTATTTACAGATAATAATTGTTTGATTACTTTTATTTTTATCATATTTTAGATATATAACATATTGTCTTATTATATTTTTAACATATTCTCAATATATAATAAAAATATCATAATTATATTATCTTATAATATTTTAAACATATTTCTAATATATTAATAATATATGATAAAGTAATTCTAAAGCAATATTTTACTATATGCCTAACATATTATTATCATAAAGTTATGAGAGTATTATTAGCAATGAACCTGTAATATATCTGGTATATTTAAAAATATTTCTAACATATTTTTTGAATTGACAAGTTTTTTTAAAGAGCTATATATAATAAACTATTATAATATCCATTTTTTTCTTATGTTGTTATATAAGAGAAAACATTTTTATCATTAGAAGTATGTAAAATAATTGAGATACTTACAAAATACAAATTTTCTTTAAAGAAATGCAGTGCATTTTTTTTTAAAATAAATATATATATATTAATTATAAATCTATTTATTAGGAATAATGTTATATTCAAAAAATCAAATAAAAGGTAGACTGCAGAAATGATGAAGTTTTCTCGTTAGCTACTCTATTTCTATGTAATTAAAATTATATAAGGTTTAGATATTCTCTGTTATTAAAAAAAATGAGAATATGAGTCAATTTGATTTAAAAGTATTTAGAGAAATAATTGTAGTTCCAGCTAAAGTATTACCTGCTCTAAAAATATAATATCATATTTCTTTTCATAATGCTGCTTTGTATCAAGCAATGGGACATGGAATTTGCATGATAAATTAGTTGCTACAGGGTCATACATTGCGTTACTTTAAGAGATTTCTCAATTTAAGCTATATAATATTTTATCAAAGAATTGGTCAACACGTAATATAGCAGAAATGCTTAATTTTATCACATTTTGCCTATCAATTTGTTAATCATTTATTCATTTTTATCACATATAAAAATGCTCTGATCAGAAATCCTACATAATAATATATGTTAAATTTTTACATGTAGCTGCATTTTAATATAATGAAATAGTATATTAAATTTTACTACTATTGGGTAAGTTATACTAGAAGCAACATTTTGCTAAAAGTTGTCTCAAAGCTGACTTTTGTGTTGTTTAAGTAATATGGTACTTTTATATTATTTTCTATAAAACCTAAACTAGGAAATTTAATGGTTGGCACAGTTCGCCCATGCATATGTGGCTCTAATCAAATCTTTGAAGCTAAATAATTAAAATTTTAATAACATATAATAATATATGAAATATTCAAAAAGTTGTTTCAAAGCTAACTTTTATGTTGTTTAAAATTTATTGTAATACTTTTATATTATTTTCTACATAAATTAAAATATGAAATATAATGGTCAGCATAGTTCACCCTTGCATATGTGACTTTGCCCAAACTTTTGAAGTCTAAAATAACTAATTTACTGTATTATGTAAATTAATTAATTAATTATTTCAGCCCTAAGCTAATTTATGTAAAATATTTAATCTTGATTTTTATTTTAGAAATATATTATACATATTCCAAAATATTGAATTTTTTAATTTGTAATGTTCGCCCGATCGATCATATGCGAAGCTTTGAATTTTTGATCGGCTGATATTATATAATGTGATAATACATTTATACTGTAAAATGATCGACATGGTGATATAAGCATGTCCGCTGTGCTTGTCAGTACACTGGAATGGATATCCCGAATAAGAGTCCACCTATTATGCTAGCCAATCCTCAAGGAAATATCGAACAGGCCTTGAATCAAGCCTGGATTTAAGCTGGCAATGTGGCTAAATCACAGCCTCAATTAATTTTATGCATCCTTCTAAACATCGGTGTACCATTATATGCTGAAATCAAACAAAGTCATTGGTTTAGCTTCTCTATGCGTTCAATCTAGCTTATTTTTAAAGCAAAACGGCATTATTGCGCTAATATATTGGTGGTATGAATCATTCATTGAACCAGGTCATAAAAAATTCGTGTCGCAACGCCCAACTATCATAATGGGTGCAAGCGTTAAACATTCTGTTCCTGATGGGTCTTATCCATCCATTGCTGCTCTTTGCGCTTCAATGAATGCAAAAGCATATCGCTACTACTTTCTATTCGTATTCAAGCAAGTAGACAAGCAATTATCTCTGACTTGGCAGGTATCTTTGGAAACCTTGTACAGACGTGTAAAATAAAACCAGTTCGTAATTTTGTTCTATCGAGATGGTGTCTCAGATTATGAAATTGAAATAGTAAGAAGTTATGTGCATATTTTTCTAAAGTAATTTGTAAAGTTGAAATTTTCTACACACACAAATTTATTTACCTTTTCGTAAAAAAAGATACATGTAAATCAATTGATGCGAATTACGAACCAACCATAACCTTTTTTGTAGTTGAACAGAAACGTCATCACGTTCGCTTTTTTTCCAACGGATTGGATAGATTCCGAGAGTGCAGGAAAATGTCATGTTGGTACAGTTGTTGAATCAACAATAACGCATCCTTTCGAATTTGACTTTAATCTCCAGAGTCATGCTAGTTTACAAGGAAGTTCGCGTTCAACACACTTGTATTGTGTGATGAAAATCGATTCAATCCCGATTCACTTCAAACATTAATTTATAACTTGTATTATTCATTTGCGCGAATCACACGAGCGGTTTCTATTGTCCCATCAGTGTAGTATGCTCGTTTAGTTTACTCTAGGTCCAGGCTTCATGAACAATGGAACGATCTTAGTGATGGTTTTATAAGAAGATTTGGTGTGGTGTAACTCGAGTTGCAAAACATGAACTTTATATAGATGTTGTAATTTATTTTTGTACAAGTTGTTGACAATCTTTTTTTAAAAAACCCTTCAAAATTTCGAGAATTACACAAAAATGCATTTTTAACGTTAAGTATAATTGAGTGAATTTTGTTTCTTAATCTATCAACGATTTCATATATTCTAATGTAAGATATTCCATTCAAAGTATAAGCGTATAACATCCTTTTTCGATTTAATATATTCAACTTGAAATGTTGAAAAACGTGAACATCATCGTAAGATAGAAGCGGTTTCTGTACCTCATACATAATTAACTTTAAGTCTTGATCTATTGTTAATGTTTTATCGAGCATACTGCATCGTAATATAATAAACGCTTAGTAACGAGTTATACTGACAAAATCTTCAAATAGTAAATTCTCGATAAAATTTAATTACTACTGAAACGGGATTAGCAATCGTCGATGGCTTTAAGTAAATAGTACAATTAACCGTATATTTGTATTATTTTACTCACCTAAATATAATGTAGTACCATTAGAATGGTGGAAACACATGCACTATGCTTCTAAGATTATTTGGCCTATCTGTTTTTTTTTTGTGAACAATGATTCCAGCAAATTAAAAAAACGAATTACAAAGTGATTAAATAATTCTTTTTTTTTTTTTTAAAAAAAAAAAAAAGATAAATACCAAAAATTGTTGCTCAATAAAATCTTTAGCCATAATTTCATAATTAACTCCTAACTGTGTAAAACCATCTTTTAACATTGTTAAAAAATTAAAAAAAATTTGATTGATCGATTGATCATCTTTTTTTGAACCCCTTATTTTGATAAACACCAAACAATTCGGCGCGGCGTCAAAGCAACTTTTTTTGTGTGCTTTTTTTTTTGAATTTAATTGGTAAAAAAAAAAAAAAAAAGAGTAGAATATTCCTTTCCGCTATCGAAATCGAATGTTATTGCATTAAATAATTGTCCGACGCTTATTACTGTAAGTACATCCAACAAATTTATCTTATAACGATTTTATTTCTATATAAACTAAGCATTATCCATTAGACTAAATTTTTTTTTAAAAAAAAAAAAAAAAGATGCCGCGACAAAGTATTATTATTTATTTTTTGATTAACTGGCTTTCCATAGTTAATTATGGTAGAGCCATAGATGTTGAAGTTGGCGACGGTGATTACACCTTTAGTCCCAGTT